GATTTCCCCCTTTTAAAAGGAAAGAAAATGGGGGCAAAGTTTAAAAAAAAAAAAAAAAAAAAAAAAAAAAACCTACTACAAATCAGTGATAAATAGGCTTCAAAGCTCTTGTCTGAGCACTGAGGTTTCTTGGACTCTCAAATGAACATAGCCTGGAGAGAAAAGGCAGTTGCTTCAGGTCTGGGTTTTGTCCCGTTTCAGTAACAGTCCAGGCAGACCTTTAATCAGCCCTAATTGCAAAGATCTCAAGACGAGCTCGCTGCTATGTTGCGTCCTGTGCTGTCAGAGTTGGTAATGAGAAATGCTGACAGCCGAAAACCAGATGAGTTGTGTGGCTCCTGCAGGCATCTCTCGCAGTGCCTGGTACCGGGTGGATCAATGAACCCAGTTCATGTCTCCAACTGAGTGCAAAACCATCCCACCCTGTGCCCCAGACCATTTGCTGGGTCCCTACAGGGGAGTAAACTCCTTTGCTAAAGATCTGGTGTGCCAAAGTTTGGATCTACTGCCCATCTATTTATTGGCTAACTCTGCTCTGATAGTGTAGCTGTCTACGTAATTGCTAAAAGAAATACTGAATGGTGTTTTGACTCTGTTGGAGCTGATGGCTCTAAGTTTAACTGTGACATTATATTGCTTATAAAATATGCAGAAAACCCATAATGGGCATACACTTGTCTAGTGTTAATTTAAATGACATGTAGCTGCCTAAAATCATGATAAAGCTTTCAGATGTAGGCCTCTACTCATCTCCTACATGCACTGATAACAAAATTAGAAAGGAGGATTTATGGGGCGAAAATGACTTGGCAATCCATTCCCATTGCTTTTAAGGCTTCTCATGTGCCTTTTAGGATCCCAGACTGCAGGTAACAAGGGCTGAGCTTGATGTTTCAAGGCCAAAAATGGCACAGGGGTTCTGTGAGTCCCAAGGCAAAAGATAAACTGTCCTTTTCCATGTATCAAGCTGGTTGCAATGAAATCTGCTGGCACCTCCCCGGCTTTCTGGCAGCTCTGTGCTGCCCAGGTATGAACAGTGGCTTGATGGATAGCAGATGAAACAAGAAACCTATTTATCCGTTTAAAAGTAAGTCCAGCTTTTCCAGCTGGAGGTCAGGGAATCCTCTATGTTGCTGCTAATGTGAAATCAGCCTGGCTGAAAGTCCTGTTACCAAAGGCCAGCCCTGGCTCGCAGGGCAGGAGCACATCGCAGGGTTGCAGACTCGGTGTCAGGGTTTGCTTTCTGGCAGCAGCCTCTTCCTTCATCACCCTGGTGCTGGTTTTTTTTTTTCCCCACCAGGAAACTCCTGAAGAGCTTGGTGGTGACAGTGGGGGAGCGTCACCTCCAGCAGGTGGATAGGCAGGAGCAGAGCATCCCTGTCTCATGTGTCATCGTCCACCCCACGTTTAACCGGCTGCACTACGTGGATTGCGATGTGGCTCTGCTGCACCTGCAGCACCCGGCCCAGTACGGTAAGCAAGAGCCCAAGGGGATGAGCCACTGCTGCGGGAGGCTGCTTTACACTGATGTGCTGGTCCAGAAAAAACACTCCTCTTCCTTCCCTTCCTGTGCTCTCTATGCTAGAGAAATGTCCCCACAGTTAAGCCTTTAATTCTTATCAAAGTAACACCGTTGCGTTAATTCTTGTCCTAGGCTTTGATTCATTGTCCCAGAAGTTTATCCTTCGGTCAGGGTCTGTGCTCTGGATATGCCCATGTTTTCTTCATGCACCTGTGTGCCTTTGTGTTCCCCTCGTACAAACTGTACCAGCATGGTTTCCTTTGGCCCCATTGTGTTAATGCCAGCTCTTGGCTAGCTGCTAGAAAGCCATCAGCTTCCTCTTTGCCATAGCCCTGGCCTGTTAGCTAGCAGTGGGCTGCAAGGGTCCTGCCCACTGAGAAGCAGGCTGGATTAAAACCTGCTTACTCCAAGTACTTCTGCAGGCAAAGGCAAAGACTCTGGAGGTAATTTTAGGGTGTTGGCGTTAGGGAAGTGGCACAAGTCTGACTTCCTAGGCTTTTCAAAGGCAGTTCCCTGAGTTATATAGAGCTACGATGGCTTACAGCCAGCTGGCCATGACTGTCTGTGACCATCAGATGGCAGATCGGCCAACATAAAATAACCTTCTGTCACTGTCATGTCTCAAATCACTGGCTCAGACAGTGATAGCCTTACAGCTTGCCTATGATGGCAGGAATAAGGGAACTAAGACCCAAGAAATGTTCATTCTGGGGCTCAGACATCCTGGCAGGCAGCGTGAGGAAAGCTGCTTGAGGGCTGCCTGTGTGCTTGTACTCTGTGGTTAAACAGGTATGTCTCCAGGCATGAACTGGGTTTGACAGCATCTGAGCCGTATGGACAACCCTTGAGGAAACTACAGGGCTCCCTGCTTAGCCCTTCTGAAGGCTGGGCACTGCCAATGCCCTGTCAGGGCAGCCAAGGAGAACTGTGATCCATTTTTCTCCCAATATCAAGAAAAAAATAACCAATAAGAGTATGGATTGAACTGAGCTGACTTTTTCATGTCCTTTCATGTCTGATCTGATCAGCACTGGTCTTTGGGGAAAATGGTGTAAAGAGTTTTCCAAGCACTATCCAGTTTCCATGTTGTATGAGATTGACACAGAGGCAACATGCTTTCCTTTCCTGGTCCCTGCCATGCTGTTCCCCCTCTTGTCCCATTCCCAAGTATCCTTCTGCTTAAGTTAATGCTCAAAGATAGCTAACAATCTTCCTGATCTCTCTCTGAATTTGCCTCATGTATATTTTCAATTACATTGAAGTGACTAACTTCACTTTGTATTCCCATTTTATAGATACTTGCATGTGACTAGTATTTTTGGGAAGGGGAGAAATGGGACAGTGTGACCTGAAGGATGCTGTTTGTACCTGTAAATCAGGCATGCTCATGGAAGCATGGGGTTCATGCGCTCATTTGTGCACCCTTTCCTCTGCAGGGGACAAGGTTCAGCCTATCCACCTTCCCCACAAGGATGAAGACTTCCAGGCTAGGGTACTGTGTGTGGCTGGGGCAAGGTGTCTGAGGGTGAGTAAAATGGCAGGGACTTCTGGTCTCAGTTGCAGGAATAAAGGGTAATGGATACGGGAAAGGAGACACTTTCTTTCAGAAATAGAAATGCAAGAGAAGGTGACTCCTGCTAGATGGAAAATTCAAGTACCCCTTTGCTCATCAGATCTCCTCTGCTTGTCAGAGGACCAGCCCCTGTAGGGATGTGCAGATCAGCATTTTCCTGCAGCTTGGGACCGTGGAGCACGTTAGGGAAGGTTGCACTTGGCAACCTGCGCATATTCATGCATGCGTATCGGAGCCTCTCGCAAGCAGAGCTGTCCTTACAAGGTGTTACAGAAGTGGGAATAGTTCCCTTGTACTTAAAAATGTATGCTCTTTCATACTCTCTCCTCTAGAGATCAGAAAACTGTTCCCTCAAAGGAATTGCACTTGCTTGAGTTTTGCTAGATTTTAAAGGAGACGGGAATATCTGTGAATGTTGCTTTTTATTTTTACATCCCCAGTGGTTTGGGGCTCATCCACTGTAGAGGAGACTTGCCTGCCTCCCACTCCCCAGCAGCCCTCCCAGGAGAAAGCACGCTGTCTCCCAGCCAGGGCTGGTGTCTCACCCTAGAAGCTTGCTGGGGGCTTCGTCCTGGCCCCTGAAAGTCTCTAGTCCTGTAGTAGGGTGCTTGGGAGAAGAAAGCAATGTCCATTGTCCAACCAGCAGAGGAATGACCTGCTCTGAGCCACTTCTCTCTGCACTGGCCGGGGGCAAACCAATGCATTGCCTACCTAGCTGGGTGCCTGTGCCTGGTGACCCCAAACTGCCTCAGAACCTGGCAGGCAAATGATGTGGGACCCCCCAGTCACTCGTGCTGGGGTGTTGGGGAAGGGGTGGATGTGGCTCCCAGGAGACAGGGCTGTGGGCTGTCATTTGTCCGGAAGGGCGAGCTGTCTTGCAGATGCTGGACATGGCCTGGTTGCTTCCACAGGGGCTGGGGCACTGGCTCCTGTCCTACAGGAGGTGGAGTTGCCCCTCATTGACCGACAGACCTGCAGCCACTGCTGAGGGGCATGAACCAGCCATCGGTGTGGGGCTCCATGCTGTGCGCTGGCTTTCCTGACAGCGGGAGGGATGTGTGCAAGGTAACAGCTTGTCCACCCTGGCTCCTGCTGGGCAGCAGGCTTGTCATGTCCACCTGCAAACCTTCTCCTCTCCTGGGGAGAAAGGGAGGCAGCAGCACTGACAGTGCTGTCAGTACTTTGCTGAGCAAGGGCTTTACAAGGAGAGGATAACGAAGGCAGGAGGAGTCTTTTGTGGGTGGGAGTATGGATGTGGGCAGGAGACAGAAGCATGATTGCCCCCTTGCCTAGACCTGCCCTGGGCATTGCTAACAGCAAGACCTCCATCTCTGCATGCAAGTGCCACCACCTCTGCTGAAACCAGGGTTTCAGCGGTGGGACTTCAGGCAATGAGCAAGGGAGCCTGGCATGGGCAATGCTACCAGGAGGTTGGAAAGAAGGCAGTACCCACCTCTCCCTCAATGTCCCCTTATACACACCCAAGCGTCCTGATACCTTCACTCAGACAGCCCCACTGGGCAATGGGCTGCAACAGAGGAGTCTGCTCAGTGCCAAACCCTCCTGTGCTGGTCCTAACAGTGCTAGCAGGGCCAGTCTTGCCCTGCCCTAGGGAAGGCTGCTGACCAGGCTGTCACTAGTTCCCTTGGGGTGTACTTGAATGAATATTTTTTAACCAGCAGTAGCTTGGGAAGCTCCCTGCCCTCTGCCATACCTTGTGTGAAGATTTTCAAAGCAGTGCTGCAGCTGATGTTAGTGAAATGGCTTTAATTTTCACATTTTTCGTGGAAAAAAAGGGGTTTGTGTACAGGGAAGGGCAGGGCTGCAAATCAGATCAGGGGAGTGAAACAACAGAGCTTAGATTGGTGCATCTTAGATTAAACAAGCACAGCTGAATGAGCAGGGACAGTGCCAGGCCCCCGTGACTGGGGAGAAGCAAGCAAGGCTGTGTTGGCTTCTGCAGCAAAGCTGGGCTGCCATGCAACGCTGTCAAAGGTCGGTGCTGCTGGCACAGGAACAAATGGCACCTTTCCTCCCTGACGGGCTGTGGACAGGGTAACTCCGGAGGCCCCCTTGCGTGTCTGAGACTGGTGGCATCTGGACTCTGGCCGATGTGGTGTCCTGGGGGGTTGGTTGTGCCAGAGGATGGGATGCCCTCAAGGGAAGCACCGTGGCCCAGGGCTCACCAAGCATCTTCTCCTGGGCGGCTGCGTTCATGGACTTCATTGCCCAGCACATGGCACCAGGTAGGCAGACTCCCATGAGTACTGGGAGGTTTTTTCCTCTCCTGTCTGTTCAGCACTGTAGGGACCCAAATTGCCCTGCTATTGCTGCCTCCCTCCCCTCCACCCACAGCAGTTCTGTTTCATTTCCAGCTGCTGCACCAGCAGCAAGGTATATCATCTTTTAATTTGGAATGGCAAAACCAAAACTTCAAACAGATAAGTTCCCCTTCAGAAACCCTGTTATAATAGCAGGTCTGACCCCTGCATCCTCTGAAGGAAAAGCAGAGGGCTACTCAAGCTGCCCTCTTTCTGGCTGAATGCAGCCCTTCCAGCTTGGCGAGGTGTCCCTTGAGCGCTGCATACCAGCCCTGCTCTAATAAAAGCCTGCTTTGAGCACTTGCCAGCTCGAGATCTGAACTGCTGTTGTGCTCCTGAAACGGCGCGCAGGACTGATCGGGGCTTATCTCCTCATCAAATACAACTTTGAATGCATATGGGAAGAGGGGCACTGTATTAAGTGCTGCAGTTTTAGTGGCTTATCAGAAGTGCCTTTTATAGCTAGGCACAGGTCTAGCGACTCCCCGCTGGCCACTTGTATTTTTCTGTACAGATGATTACAGGGCTAATACAAGTTATTAAAGAGACGGTGTTATTTCTGTCATAGCCATCAAAGCTGAGGTGTTGGTATTAACTAATACCCAACCTATTATGGCTTTGCTAGGGATTCTTAATGATTATGCTTTCAAAGGGGGACTGTCTGCAGCTAAGAAGGTGCCTCTTAATTGGGAGCAGTAACTGCAAGGAGCAGAAGCCACGTGGCTACAAAGTGGGTGCATTACCCTTTGCAAAGCGGAGCTATCGGGATTCACACAGACCAAATGCCCGTAGAAGATGAAGGGAAGGCCAACATAAAAGTGGTGCTTCATTAAAAATGAGCTTGGAGTAGCCAAGCCAGCTCTTAGCAGGCTGAATGAATGTGAGCCCGCTGTGTCGGTGGGAAAACTCCTGAAAGTTTGGGGATTTTTAAGTAGGACTTTGGGAAAGAAAGTGTGTGCTCTCATCTGAGGCTTCTCTCAGCTGCATGTCAAGCACTTTGTGTTTGAAACAACTGCAGTGCTGTAGCCCGTGCCTTGACTGATAGTACCTGTACTGCAATACCCCATCCAACTCTTTTCTCTCCCTAGCTGCTGTGCCAAGCCCTCTCCACGTGTCAGCGGAGTGCAGTTCCCAAGGCGCCTCACTCTTTGGAGAAAGTGGCCGCATTTGGTACCCCCAGGCTTTGGAGGATAACTATCCTGACAACAGGTAACTGTAGTTAGGCTGTAGTAGCCAAACACTGCATTTTCCTTGGGGCACCCACTGAAGTGTTTCCCAGGGCTTGGAAGGCTTGGAAGCCCTGACCACCGCTGGCCTGGGCCCTGCTCTCAGTGGTGTCCAGATGACAGTGGCTGTGTGTTCCCTGCAATGCAAATCCCCAGCTACGCTTGCCGGGCATGATAATGCTGCAGGGGAAGGCAGGAAGACACAAAGTCTATTTGCAATACAGATGCTGTATGGGCCACGCTCACGAAATGGCTGTGGCTGGCTAGAGATCTGTTGTACCCTTTACCCTTTGGTCTGGCCATGTCGATGTCAGCTCACATAAAGAAGCTTTCAGCTTCTGCAGGAGGCAGGGGAATGAGATGGACTGGGCTGGTGGTGTGTCAGTCACACAGCACAAAGCTGTCGCCGCTGTAAGGAAGCGTCAGTCCCCACCTAGGGCTGAGCAAATTCATAGCAGTCCTCTGCTGTGGGTACTCTCTTCCCAGATGGCTTATGCCAAGGGGGAAGATGATAAAATTTACCAGGTGGAGCTGGTGACATCAGTTGTCAGCTTCTGGTGCGTGCTTGCAGGAAAGCAGTCGCTGGGGGCTCCCAGCCCATGGAGGGACTGACAAGGGCTAAGCTCAGCCATGCAGATACGTGCCTTCACTATTGCTTGCTTCTAGCCTGTGCACCTGGAATATAACAGTGCCAGAGGACAAAATTATCTTGAAACATTTCACCAAATTAGATGTAGAGTACCAAGTTGGATGTGACTGTGACTGTGTCCCTGTATTTGAATGGAAGAGAGCTGATCAGTAAGTCTGGGTGCCTTGGAGTGAGGGTTACTGGGTGTAATTTCTTGTCATTCGTTGTCTGGCTTTTGAGACAGCCATTCTGTCGCTGGCTTTTGAGAAACCTTTTGTATTTTGCACTATGAATCTAAAGAGCTAGAGATCACATCCAAATAGAGCAGGGCAGGTGGGACTGAGGGACATGTTCATCTTTGTGCTGGTATCTAGTGCAGTGTGGTGGGCTTCTCAAAAATGTCTTTCAGCTGTACATAATTCTGTGCCCCTTCTGCCTTATCTCCAGTATACCTATTTTACTCTTACAGACCCTGGGTATCAGCATAAAGCCGAGTGCTTAGCCTGGCTTAGCTGGTGAACGTCCAGACAAGTTTCCGATGTGTTAGCAGAGCCAGCATGTGTCATGTATGTTGGAGGCACAGATCAAAGGCTGGCTTTTCCTTGGTTCAAAATTGGTTATATAGTGCAACAAGCATGCAGATTACCGGGTAACTGTACAGAGGAGCCTAAAAGAAATGTGGCCTGTTGTCCCTCTGTAGAGTGCGCTTAACACTGAACCAACAGAGAATAAATATTTCCTGCAAATACTGGCTGCCTCTCCACTCTGAGTACTAATGGCGATGTGTTGTTAATAATGTTAATAATGTTAATCCTTAGTCCATGCAATTCATCCTCTAGGAATATTTGGTTGTTCATATGGTTATTTTGGATTAAGTCCCATCTCCTCAATTTTTCTCTACCACCTCTAAATATTTTATAGGTAATGAAAGCCAAATAGTCTCTCCACTCAATGTAAGAAGACGCCTTCCTGATGGAATCTAGCCTAATGAACCACTATGAGATTTTCCTGAATAAACGTATGTTCAGCCCACCCTTGCCACCAACTCCTTGTCTCCCTCAGGTAAATTCTGCAGGAATATGTTCCTGGCCCTTCTGCTGGCAGAGTCGGACCAGACCACCATTACATTTGTTTCTGATGGGAGCAACACTGGCCATGGCTTTGAGCTCACCTTCGTGGCCATCCATAAGGACTCTGAAGCAGGTGACCTTGCCTATGCTGTAGAAACTCCTTTCCCTCTCCTTCCTGATCCCCCTAAAATAACAACTATCCTTAGTGTGCCTGAGTTCCTTAAAAATCAAGCTGTTGATTTGGGTTTATTAAAAGTACCATATAATCCTGTCTGTTAAATTTGTCTCCTTTCTCATTTGCGTATTGCAGGTTTGGGCTGTGGGAGTGTCGCAATGTTAGTGGAAGAGGGGAAGATTGATACTGCTAATTACCCTGGCTTGTATCCCAGGAACACGAAGTGCCACTGGCTCATTGAGGCTCCAGCAGAGTATGTCGTAAAGGTAATAAAGGAGAAACTGCACTTAAACCTCTGCAGTAAGAACTGTTCAGGGGAGCGATTCAATAAAATCCTGCCAGAAACATCTGTGACACACAAGACTGTAAATTGTAAGGTTTCCAGGTCACCGATTCTTTCCAGGGCATATTTTGTCAATCGGACATCACCTCTGAACTGCTGTATGGAGGGGCTGTGACTGTTGTAAGCACTTGAAGTCTGTAGGCACCAATCTCATCTCAAGACAGCTTTATCTTGAAGTCCAGCACAGACATCTAGGGGGAAAGGGAAGGTAGAGATCATGTTGCAAAAAATATAGTCAGCCTTTTCCTCAAGGTGATGTCAAAACCGCCAAGCTACTCCTTAGCCCTATACCAAGGTGTTTGTTTCTCATTGTGCATGGGTTGTGTGACAGTAGTTTCCACTCATAGTACCAGCATCTCTATTTTTATTGCCTGTTGCTGCTTGTGTGCAGCAAGCATCCCACCAAGCTCACCCCAGCCCATGATAAGTCACGTTGCCATCTTACATTGTTCAAAGCAGCAACATCTCTCCTTCCCTGCTGCCTTGCCTAAGGGGTGGAAAAACAGTGTTAAACCTAGGGATGCTTGAGGGTATGCAGACCTATTGCTTGGGTTGCTGCTGCTCTGTTGGTGTAAGAGCTTGAAGTCTGGATTAAAAACAAAACAAAGGAAAAATCACCTACTCTCCATTCTTGAAGGAAAAGCTCTTGGAAGGGCCCTCCATATGAGGGACTGACCCTTCAGAAGTACAGAACACTGAGTGTTGCAGTAAAGATGACAATTGAAACCCCTTAGGCAAAGCTTAGGCAAGCCTCATCCTCTGCAGACCTGCCTGTAGCCCTGCACAGGAGGGAGCAGTCAGGCCAACGTTGCCAACAGACTGTTTTGATGCAAAACGTGACACATTCACCTAGGGACTCCGTGCTCAAATTCCTCTGAAATCTAGCTCTTCTCCAGCCCATGGTTAAGAAGGGTAAGTGTTTCAGTCTGATGATTCTCTCTTGCTTGTCCTCTTCGCAGCTGGAGTTTGAAGACTTTGCTGTGGAACTTAGCCCAGGCTGCACTTATGATGCAGTTACTGTTTATGGCGATGAAGAAGAAAACCAGTTGGGTGAGTGCTAATTGTTTCAGTCTTAAATTAGAAATCCCTGTGGAAACAGGCATGCTTTATCACCAGACTACTCTCTCTCTGGTAACATTGTACTCAGGACTACTGGAAGGGCAATATAAGGGCTTCTGCAGTAGCCTTGAGGCTTGCCCATCTGTCTTGCCCATCATGATGCAGCCAAGCGTGCCGTTGGCTCAGGAGATCCCATGTCCTGGTCCAAGACTGTGCGTTTTCATGGAGAGCCAGCTGGTGTTGCGGGGCTGGATATAGGACCATGGCTCGTGTTCTGCTGCAGAGCCAGCAGAGCACACAAGCGTGTGCTGCTGGATCAGGCCTCCACTCTGCGCCTCTCTATCAAAGGAGAGAGAAAGAGCAATTTTAGTCTAAGTGTTACTAAAGAAAACAAATGTTCAAAGTAAAGCAGAGAGAGAGAGTGGTTGTCGATGGGTGTCTAATTCTACTGAAATGGATATGAATTCTTTATGAATTGAACTAATTCTCTTGGAATTTCATTAATGAAAAATTGCTAACCTGAGGCATTGCTTTGCCACACTTTCAGAAGGAAATATTTTTAATTCCTCACTTTAAATCTGCTTCAGTTTTATCAATATAAAAATCTTTATTTTAGTGAAACAAATGTTCTTAACTTTCCTTTTTTTTTTTTTGAACATCTATATTTCCAGATGTTCTTCCTACTTGGACGCAATGAAAGCATATTGTAACACCCCATTTTTTTTAAAAAAACAGCTTCCAGGCACCACACTCACTTTAGCAGATATGTACTCTTAAGGTGAAAAGCAATCTGGGGCTCAGAAATGGATATTTGAATTGAATTCTGGCTACCTCTTTACAGGCCTGTATGTCAACCAAAAACCAGAGCCAAATGGTGAGGGGCTGGTGCTCTTTTCTTTACACCAAAGAAGCTGGGTTAGAGGCTTGAACTGTCCTGGGTTCGCTATTGACAAGCGATCTTTGGCAAACTGCTTCTATTTTTTCCCCATCTATTTTGTGGTGGTAATTTAGTTGCATGTGTTTACCAAACTCTGAATAAGTACTAACATTACAGTTGCCTTGAAAAGAAATCTGTTTTCCATTGGAAAGGAGTATTTATCTGGGGGGAAGAAGGCTGACAAATTTGGGCCTGCAGTCTTTCAGGGGAGAGCTTTCAGCATCCTGGAATGTTTCACTCAATGCTTTCCAGCACAGCTTTGCCATCGGAAATTCAGATTCTTACAGGAAAGCTCCTCTGGAATAAAGTGCAAGCTTCCTATCCAGCTGCAATTATGGGACTTCCAGATGCTATGCAAACTGAGTGCTCTCAATAGGAAGAAAAATCTAGCAGCTGCTCTCTCGGTCCTCAACCTGTACATGTAAACCATTCAAGAGATTTTTCTTGCATCCTTCAATGGTGGCAAACACAATTCTCAAGTGTGGGGTTTTTTTGTGCAATGAAGGGCATTCACACTGTCTGTTGAAGATTACTTGTAATTCCACTATGAGAAAATTAGGATTACTTTTGTGTACCTGTAGCATAACTGTAGCAGACTAATTCTGGCTGCTGTTGCTTACTGAGGTCAGTGATTAACATTGCTTTGTAGACGCCGCTTCTGCAAAAGTTCTTGTTTTAATCAGAAAGTCACCAAGACTCTAGGGCTTTAGGTTTTTTTTAGAAACCTAGATTAGCTAAAGCCACAAGTGCTTACAGGATGATGTTTCTCATCTTAGAAATACTGCTTCTTGTTCATTCCCACAGCTAATCTCTGTGGATCCTCAAGTCCCAAACCAGTGCTGAGTCCAGGGAATACCATGCTGGTACATTTTGAAAGTGATGGGGAAAACAGCTTCAGAGGGTTCAGAACCGAGCTTACTTTTGTTCGTTCAGGTTAGTAGAGAGATGCTTGCTGTGTCTAACAATGTCTGCATCATCTGCAGCTATTCTTAGACACCTGAGCTTATTTTTCAGGCTAATCCTGCTGCATTCTGTCAAGGTAACTTTAAAACAGAATAGCTGCTTGTGGCAGAGCTCCCTTATTCTCCCTGAATAAGGGAGATGAATCAAGTTGTTTGTTTTTCCCCTCACTGAGAAATGAGATGACTAACTTCTGCTACCTGAAACAAGCAGTCTTGTTAATTCTGTCAGTCTGATATTCCCCTTGAAAACCTCATTATAGAGGAGAGTCTTGATCCTGGGGGCTAGTCTGCTATTGTTGCCTTCTACTTTCATGAATGTGTACCAGCTGCTGCTTGAAGGGATGAATAACTTTTCCCTTCCAGAGCGGGGACTTTTTTTTGAGGGGACAAGCCAGAGCTATTGACCCAAGTTGGAGCTAACTCTCGTTTCCTCTCTTGCAGAGGAGGCGGCAAGAGAAGAGAAGATTCAGGATTAACTACGGCACCGATGTTGCCTCTGAAGGATGTCCCCTTAGGTAAAGAAATTAAATTCTGCTCGGTTGATCTGGTCTGAGGAGCTTTACTCTAACACATAAGAGGATTATGCAGTGAGGCAGATGCTTTCTGACCTCAGGTCCCCTTTTGTGCACTTCTTGCATGGATGAAAAGTGCTAGGCAGGTGCCCCATCTCTCATTCTCCATACACGTGGTACATCCTCTCCATTCTGGTTGCATTCACTTCCTATTGGGAACAGGGACACAGGTTGGAGGACCCGCTTTCAGTGCCTGAGCCTCATTTGCTCTCTGAAGTGTTCCCTTGCAGATACCTGTGGCCTTTTCCCAGTTACTCCCCAGTGGTTGTTCAAGAGCGTTAGTGGGGCTGAGCAGGCCTGACCTCACTGTTGGCCACAGCATGCTGCCCTGAAGCTCCTTGGAGACTACTAGTGCAATGGGGCTGTTGTCAGCCCTACATAGCTGCTGACAGCCGCCCACTGTGTGCAGCTGACTGTGACCAGCACGTCCCTGGGCCACGTCTGCTCCTCTCCCCATGCTGTGCACTCCCCCTGCCCCTCCAGGCTGGGGTGCAAACAGCTGGAGAGCTATAATTTATATTCTCACCTTCATGTCCTCTACAAAACCTTCCTTCTACCCTTCATCCACAATCACTGATTTTTAGAGATGGCAACAGTTTGGTCTTACTTGTAGGAGATCCATCAAAGTTAATTGGACTCTGAGCTGTAGCAAAGCCAGAACTGATGCAACACATTTGCTGTGGTGAGAAGCTCTTGCTCAGCAGTCCTGGGAATAAGTGACTAATTAGAGAAGAGCCAGAAGGGATGTATGACTGCTGAATAAGAAAGCTGTACGGCTGACTGTAAGTAGCTCCAATATGTTTGCTTTCATTATACAGATTCAATAAACCCTTGCACTGGACTATGACAGTAGGAGACCATGACAGAGCCCTGAGAGAGTCAACAGAACAGATGAAAACCAAGCAACACCATTAAAAAAATGTTGACTTTGGTGTATTTGCCACTACAGTATTTCTCAAAACAGATCTGTATGCCCAGATAAAAGTGTTGACAGCAAGGCAAAATGACTGATACGTAGCACAGGTTGAGGAATGAGAAAGGAAATCCAGTAACTCTGGTCTAATTCAGCTAACTTGCAGTTTATAGAAGTATGTTTTATATCTGGTTCTTATTACTAGCAGTAAAAATTCTTAAAATCTAACAGAGGTGACAGTGTCCTCAGCATCTTACTCTCTTGGTGCTGAGCAATATATCTGTCTATAAAAAGCTTGTTGACTCTTTCTTCCTAATGGGGAGGAGGAAGAAATACATGTGGAAAAGAAGCTCAAGTGACTCACAGCAGTCTTCTGCAAAACCTTAGTGGCTTGTGTCTGCACAATGAACCAGTCAGCCTTCCCTCTAGGCTCAGGAGGTCTACATAATCCATCCCAGCAATCTTAACTGAAAAATAGAGAAGTGGGGAATTTGTCTTCAAAATCCTCGCACCTTGTTTGTTTCTTTTCATGACTTATTTTGAGCTTGGTCGTTGCTTGTGGGATTTTTGCCCTCTTCCTTTACAAGTATGCTTTCAGAATGCACTTAGAGGGCGGCTTGTACCTTCTCTGCCCTGGTCACAGGCGAAACAGGTGAAAACCATGGTGGTGCATCCCCGCTTTGACATGCTGAGCTGTGACTCCGACGTTGCCCTGGTGCAGCTAGACGTCCCTCTGGAGTACAATGCTGCTGAGGCCGGTGCTGCTGCCCAGCAGCACAGACATGTTATCTTCGTCTTCCCTCTGCACTGTGTCTGGATAGGGGATCATCGAAGAAGGTGGCTCTTCTGATTTTGCATGTTTTCCTATTATGAGCAGAACATACATTTCAATCTCATTTTATTCTTCTGCCCAGACTTAACCTCGAATTTATTTCCCAAGCAGATGGGAGCCGAGCTAGGCAGTTGTAGCAGACACAAGTGCCTGTACTTGAGAATGAAATCTGCCAGAGAAATTACTACTTCAGCCACCCTGGAGGGATCACCGCCAGGATGCTTTGTGCTGGCTTTGTTTCTGTGGGAGGCCAGGACTCCTGTCAGTTGAGGTAAAACTAAAGGTGAGCACTCTTGAAGATGTCTGCATATGGATGTTGGTAGACCATCTGGGGGAAGGGACTGGGGGGGACAGAGGGAAGAACAGCCTATAGCAAGTGACAGTTAAAAGCTCCAACAGCCTGCTGTCCTTGGAGTGGAGAGTACTTATAAGAGCAACAGATGCAGTCAGTCTGTACAGGAGATATATGCAATGTGCAGTGTTGCTTGGAAGTGGGACCACAGAGTTTAGTAATCTTTCTCTGGACAGTAATTTTCCTGAGACCTGCAGAGGAAAGGATGTTCTTCCTTTGCACTTCCCGAGTCCCATCTCTTATCCCAGTGAAACACTTCCCATTGTAGCTTGCTTGGAAACCCTTTTATAGCACTCTTGTGAAGATAAACTATGAAAACTTCTACTGGTTTTATAACACTCTTGTAGTCAGAGCACTGTTCAAGAACTAACTAACCACCTTGAAATCGTGAGGCGAGCAGGTAAGAACAGCTGAGCAAATAAAAGGCAAAGTAATTCTGACCGAGGCACTGTCAAGCTAAAATGTGGGTTCTGCTCAATACCGCAATGTTATGGCAGACTAATAAACTACATGTAAAACTAAAGAGCACTATTCAATCATATCTGGTCTGCAGCCTGTGCTCAGTCTTCACCCCACGCTAATAAGCAGGCCTTCAAATCAGTCTCTTCGTTCCAGGCTAGGGCTGAGTTGCACTAGCAGCTGCATGCCCTTTTCTTGCTTGGAGGCTTTTTCTTGGGCAGATTTGATCTGTGACAGCTCTTTTCTTAGCTGCAGCAGTGTGGAGGCCAAACGAGATAGCTGCGAGTTCTCTCTCTTTTGGTTCCTAGGGTGGTTCTGGTAGCCCCTTGGTTTGTAACAAGGAAAATGAGCCATTTACTCTTTATGGCACTGTCAGCTGGGGTCTGTTCAAGGGTAAGGATTTTCCTGGACTGGATAAGACTGCTGATGAAAGGTGAGTTTTCCTTGTCTAAGTGAGACGAGTCCTGAATATAAACCCTTTGTATAAAATATCCCAAGGGCATTGAGGTTTTGTCTGGTAGACTTTTTGAGGTGACTAAAGAGGAAGAAAAAAAAAGAATCCAAGTGATTTCCTGCAGAAAAGTCTCCACTTCCTCCTCTTCCTCATGCCTTCCTTCTAAACAAAGCTTACTGGAAATTAGAATTGGAGTTTCAGAAGCATAAGACTTGTATTTAACACTTCTGGCTCTCAAATTGAATATAATCTTTGGACAGGTACTTTTCTCAGTAAAGAGCAGCTGCTTGCGAAAATGCCTACCAGCCCCACACTTTGATGGGCAGAATAGTTTGGGACAATGCTGTAAACTGAACTTGTGTGTGTGTGTATCTAGATATAACTAGCACCACGTTCAGAAGTCTGCAGGATAAACTTTGCCAGAGAAAGTGCTAGAGAAAGAGTAGCATATGCTAGCGAATAAGGACTGATTGCATGCAAGTGATGGCATCTTACAAAAGGGAGAGGCCCCTGTTCTGCAAATGGAGAAATCCACCACTTCAGCTTGTTTAATCTGATGGGATTTGAGAGATTTCAAAGAGCCACCAGATAGCTTCAAGTCTTTTTTTTTCCCATTTTAAAAAAACCGGTTTTTTCTTCTAGAGAAATGTTTCACTTTGGGCTCAAAGTATTGCACTGGGAAACTGCTGCTTGAAAACCTTTGTCTTCCAGGGCTTTATCCCTTCTTCTGATGGGATTTGAGAGATTTCAAAGAGCCACCAGATAGCTTCAAGTCTTTTTTTTTCCCCATGTTAAATAAACCGATTTGTCATTCTAGAGAAATGTTTCACTTTGGCTCAAAGTAGTTGCACTGGGAAACTGCTGCTGCAAAACCTTTGTCTTCCAGGGCTTTATCCCTTCTCCTTCCCTGCATGTGCTCACGTACAGCCAAGTATGTAATTCTCCATTTAGTGAATAGCTGTGATTGTCCCACAGCATTTCTTAAGACAGAGGGAAGACCTAATCCTGGACAGAGTTTTCATGTTTCTGCCCATCCTATATTTTATTCTGTTGCTGCCAGCAGAAAATGGAGAACTTCTGCTTACAGGAATAAATTTAATTTTTTTTCTGTATCCTGAATAAAGTGTATTGCAGTTATGAGCAGGAAATTAAAGTATATATTAAAGAAAAGAGCATGTTGTGGCTAATGCTCCACTTTCAGGTCAGACGAGCACTTGGACTCTCCTGCTTTGTGCTGCAGCTGCCGGTCTTTCTCCCTTGTGGCATCATTCATAGTCCCACGCTGACCTAACAGAAATGTTAGTACAGGTGCTGACTAAGGGAGAACTTTCTTCTAAACTAAAACCAGTTAACAAAACAAGTTATCACTTGTATGGTAGCCAGACCATCCCCACAGATAAGCTGGGAGCTGGCTGGAGATCTTCCATACCCTTGGATCTGACACAACTGGCTGCTGACCACTGACTCTCTGTAGGCTGTAATGGCTTTCATGGATTTACTGTAGGTCAGGCAGTTTATGCAGGGAATTGCTCAGCTCTGTAGCTGTAAATCTTTCCCAGAGGTGGAGGCTGTAGCGTTGCATACAGCGTTTACATATGGCTTCATACAAAAGGTTCAAAGCCCTGAGGGCTCTTTGAGTCAGATACTGACCACTGGATCATTTATCTGACCTTCGTATGATTGCCTTCCTATTGCGGGAAGTGCTTGGCTGTGCTGACTGTTCCTGAGTTTTGTATTAAACTGTCTCTAAGCATGCTGTGCCTCTCCTCAGATGCTGAACAGAGCGTGCTGCAGTGCACTGGAGACCTCAGCACGGGAGCAGCCAGCGAAGCTGCCCACAAAGCGAACGGGAGAGGCGTGCACGCAGGGTGGCCGCAGGACTGCGTGGAGCTGGCATGTGCCATCGGCTGCAGCGCTGGGTTTGCAGAAGGTGGTGGAACTGGTTCAGTTCAGGACCAGCTCTGGGTAGAGCCTGGTAATAAGTTTGAGTCTCCTAACATCTCGGTACAAGTAGACACAGATCTCTGGATTTTGTCTTGGGAAGAGTTTGCATGTGTGTGTACACAAAGGGAGGGGGGAGGAGGGAGGCCAGTGAGCAGAGCCAAGAGAAGAAAGACTCTGTTGTAGCTAGAAGCGGTGGGCTCGTGTGGAGGAGCCAGGGATCCATGAACACTGATGCTGCAGGTTTCCTGTGCATTTGGGTATGCTGTTTAATCTGCTCCCTCTCTCCCTTACCATCCTTGGAATGAGGTATTGTTTTATTTTTTTAATCTTCCATGTTTTGGACTGTTTCTCAGGGCAGGGACAGTTACTTAATCTCTTACACATATACTTAGCACAACCAGAGCTGTGGTCTTGGGTGAGGCAGTCTGTCAGCTTGCTACTGCTTTTAAAGCTCAGTGAACAGCCCTGTCCTACTGATGTGCCTCCTCCTGCCTGTTATGCATTTAAATGTTTCTCCACATCTGATACTGTGACAGTATTGGAGGAAGACTGATGAAAAGGCTGAAGTACCCCTGAGTTACTGGGTGACACTAGCTCTGGCAACAAATTGGAGAATGCTGTTGCTCACGGCTTTAAAAAGCAATCTGTTCAGGAGGGGACGTGCTACCGGCTCTGCTTGCAGACCTGTGCTGTAGCCAGGGTGTTGGCATGCAGTGTGTGCTTTCCTCCTCTTCCCACTGGCATCCTTGCTGGTGCTCCAAGACATCGCACTACTGAGATAAAAATAGGTCCTCTGAAGAGATAAGCAACAGGATGTGGGGATGCTTTCTCTCCTCAGGAAAGTGCAGCACAGCCAGCGACTGTGGGGGCATCATTAGCACAGCAGCTCCAGGGCTGGTTAGCAGCGGCTGGAAACGCATGCAAGGCTATTGCCCGCACTGGAGCAGGCTTGTTTCATCTAAGCTGCTCATCGCTGGGTGAGCTCAAAGTCATGGCAAGCACGTGGTGCTGTAATGACCTGAATTGGGATGTCACCCTGAATGCAAAAAGGATTTTTAAAATGAACCTAGAAACAAGCTTTTGTGGCTCAGCATGACGGGCTTCACTCCCTTCCAGACCGCTGTGCCCATGCTTGCACTGCTCTTCCCTGCCGTCCCCGGATGCAAGCACGGGGCCCCCATCCTCCAGTAGTGCTGAGTACGTGCAGGAGCCTTTGACTTGCCCTTGGGCAAAGCTGTGTGACTAATGCATTGCTTTTCAACCTAGACTGTGGTGGAAGATGTTTGGTTTTTTTAAGGCCAGCTCTCCTGGAGGAAGGGTACCCTCCCCATAACTCAGCTTGGCCGAGCTCTCTTCCACTGTGGATTAAGCCAAGTCACACTTCCCTGCGTGTGCCCTCTAGTAAGCGCTGCTGTGCAGTGCTGCTCACTCAGGAGGCAAATGTTCCTCATCTCCCTTCTGGATTTGAAGGATTTCTACCCAGCGGAGGGGCTTAGCTCTCCCCTCTCTGCGCTCTCAGCATCCCATGCAGGTACGCAGCAATGCAGCATGGTGTCAGCATCCAATCTGAGCGGAAAGCTCATAAATGTTGGTGTGGGAGAAAGCACACTTAAACAGAATTTAAGCTGCTCTACAGAGGGTACGACTTTAAAAATTGCTGCCTTGGGAGGCAAACAACCCTGTTATGCTTGCTACTAAAGGGACATACAGTTCTCATTAGTGATCTTGTTTTCTCTCCTCCTGCTCTGTTATAACCACTCAGACACTTCCAAATATTTCCCTGTTGATTTGGTCTCTTATTTAACAAGTGTTGAATCTGACTGCACTGTGTGTGCATGCAGCTATAGGCTAAGCCTGCTCTCCTCCTGTGTTTCTGGAGAACCAGAGTGCATAGACAAAAGCATAGTATTTCATAACTCTTGTCAAGGGCTGGTCACAAGGTCAATTAAAAAAAAAAAATACATTTCTTCCTCAGTAGTGAGTACTTGAGGTTGGTAGGCCTGTTAGCCCTGGTACTTGACCAACCTGGTATCTTTTTACCTGTTTTCCAGGCATTAATTCAAAGTGTAGCTCAGAGTAAATTTACAGGCAAGTCTGCTTTCCTCTAAGGCCTGGCAGCTCACTCCTTTATGCTGCCTGGGTCTCTGAGGCTAAGGCGACAGGACTGCCTTGTGACCATGTACACTTTGAGAAGTCCTGCAAGCTTGTACCAGCCTGAGTGCTGGAGCCTAAGAAATGATCCAACTGATGGGAATAGCTTTTAAATACGCATATAAAAATATATTTAATCTGCCCTATGTAGGGTTAAGCTTTTTATCAGATGCATTCATTTTGGCTTTTCTGATGGTTGCAGTACCTGTGCTCTTGCCAGTGATATCAGGATATTCAGAATTCCAGCAAGTCCAGTAATACAGGGGCAGGGGGGGAACAAATTTAAAAAAAAAAAAAACAAAACAAAACAAAACAAAAAAAAAACAAAAACAAAAACCACCCCCAACCAACAACCACCAAAATATTGGAAAACCATTTCCCACTAACTTTATTGACCCACTAGGCTATCTTCAATCATGGGCAGAAGTGGCAGGTTTTGTAGAAAGCTCTTGCTGTCTTTTCTTAATGCTTTTAAGGAAAAAGAAAAAAAAACAAAAAAAAAAAAACAAAAAACAAAAACAAAAAAACCACCCAACCAACAACCACCAAAATATTGGAAAACCATTTCCCACTAACTTTATTGACCCACTAGGCTATCTTCAATCATGGGCAGAAGTGGCAGGTTTTGTAGAAAGCTCTTGCTGTCTTTTCTTAATGCTTTTATCACTGAAGTGCACATTTATCCACAGAATGTGCGTCAGAAGTAGAACTAGAAGAGCCCCAGGGGTTTATCTTTGCTCCTTCCTCGTCAGGATACGTGGGAAACAGAGTGCTCTTGGATACTCTGACTGTCTCTGAAGGGCATGGCAAAGATTATAGTAAAGCATCTGTCAATAACATCATCACTGAACTGCCAAGAGGAGTTTCTTGGTGTTTATGAAGAGAGCCAGCAAGGAAGAAAAGTGCTAGGTAACAAGAAACAATCCAGCTGAGGACACTCAGTCCTAGCAATTTCTCATTTTCACTTGGGCCAGCTTCAGAAAGGGTTTCCAGCCCCAGCTGCACAGCTCTGATGTGTGGCAATGTTAAGTTAAGTGTCAGAGCTCAGGCTGTAAACTTGGCTGAAGACCTTAATCCCTGTGTCAGTGTGCTGCATTGAGCCAGTAGGAGAACAGCCCTCTTCGTACACTAAGAAACAAGCTGTGGTATTTGGGCAAACCCTTATGGACACTTGTCTATATAAGTGACTTGTGACCTCCTATATTGGCAGCTTCTTATTCAAAGTCAAGCCCCCTTCCTCCATACCCTCTGAGACAAAGTGAGATGCAATGACAGTATGTATTATTTGTCTCTTGGAAGCGGAATGGACGATGCTGAAGCATTAGCGTCTGGGGAACAGGAGTGTGGCTCTTTAAACCGGAAAATATATTATCTCCTGTGCAGATGGCTATGGTCTTCCTCACCCTGACCCTGCTGAGGTGCAGTCTGGTCACCGAGCCACTAGTCTAGATGAACACAATCGACAGAATTAAAAGAAAGCTGAAATAAAATGAAAATGAGATGAGAAATTTAATGCTCTTTATCAGAAAGTTTAGATTTCTGGAGGCCTGTATGTCCACATGTGTGGTTTGCTCATGTACTGCACGCTGTCCAATTAAGTAAAATGTAGTTGAAGTGCAGTGTGGCAGGGAGCAGGAGCACATCAAGGTTACTCTAGTGAGTTGGGCCATTTCAAAATGCATGAAGGAGATGCTTTTTGCTTCCTGTTTTAAAGGCTCCCTACACAGAGGAGGGTACAAAGTAAAAGAGAGAAGATGCAGGACGGTAGCACACTCCTACATCTGTTTGAAATAGCAAGACAAATGCCACCTTTCTTGTCTGCTGTATAGTATATAAACATTTTTATATATAAAGAAAATCAATCTCTACCTTCACTGTATTGAAGTCTTGGGACAGAAGGGAGGGCCATCATGCCTTTATGTACACAAGTGATGGGCTTTAATTTAGCTACTATCACTGAAATATTGTAGAGTCAGTGGAGCAGATTCGTAGCCATAAAAAGACAAAATAAGGTGTCAATATCTGAAGGGGTAAAGAATAAACATGCTTTACTGTACAAACCTGAGGAACCAATTTTTTTAATACTGTGGGGGGATTTGATTTAATTCTTCCCCCTCCTGCACACAGTCATTCAGAAAAGGATCTAGAAGTACAGAGGAGCGTGGCAGGTATCCAGGGGTTGGTCTGGCTCTCAGCAGGGAGGGACTAAACAGACTCAACAGGCTGGAAAAGATAATGGCAGCAAAACGCAATGGCTTTATAGACTGATATGAATGGCACAGAAATGCTTAGTCACTAATTTTTGCAAGGTAAGGATTAGGGACATCACAGCGAAGTATCAGACAGCAACTTGAAAGCAAAAGGATTTAACTGGAACTTGTTGGCATGAAATGTAAATGGAGAGGGAGGGAAGTAATAGGAAAGGAGTGGGGGAAAACTCCTTGCAGAGATTTTATTGGGTGTGCTGAAGGATCCCTGACCTGTGAAGATGTTCCTTCTCCCAGTATCCCCTCCCAGCTCTTCAATGTGTTTGTTTCTTCCGCTCCCTCATCTTCCTTCTCTCTTTATTCTGCCTCTGTATAGGTTTAATTTATTGTGATTACAGATGTTATAAACTAGTTATACGGAAGCATTTCTCCTGGGTAGGTATCCATGCTGACATCCTGGTAGAAAAAGCATGGTGGAGAAATCCACCATCAGCCTTTGGGAGTCCTGTGGGTGAATTCTAGTGTATGTATTCTCCAAATACTTTCAAAATTAAGTGATGCCTCTGGAGAAAGTTTTTGGATAATAGCTGTTCTGTGTAGACCTTCATCATCTTATATCACACCAGTGGTGATGGCTAATGCTCTAGGGAAGAGGTCCTATTTAACTTCCATCTGGTTGTAAATGAGGGCTATGCACATGGTCATCATAGTTCTTGTATAAAGGAAATAAGCTGTTTTTTCCTGACGCTTGAACAAGAACACCCTTTTGTTACCAAATACAGGAGTAATACTTCTAGACAAAGACTTTTAGGGTAATGGAACATGCTAGGAATATTTTCATTAGATTTGGTGGGTGGTTTTTTTTTCCCCTTAGTTTAGCGTGTCAGTTAACTCTGAGTTAGGAGTGAAAGGACAGGAGAGAAAGATAGAGGATGTGCTAAGAAGCTATTAGAGCACTCCACAGCTATCTTCCTCCAAGAATTTATTTATAAAAGCACACAAAAAATTCTAAAAGTATGTCTATTACAGCTGAGAATAACAGTTTAACCATCAAAACTATTTATATGCAGGACAGAGGAAAATACTATCAGAAATGGGGCCATCAGTCAAACTTTTCCCTGAACAGGAGTCTAATAGATAGGTCCCTGGAGCATCCTCGAGCACACAGACTAGCTGCTATGTAATAGCATTTGTTATGGCTGGCAGTTTTTCAAGGTTGGGTATATTAAACTAGATTCCTATGTCTATTTATATGCCAACATATTGAAACAGCCTGTTTTCCTTTTTTTCCCTCCTTCTCTAGAGCCAGTGAGCAGCAGAAGTCAGTGGGTGCCTGTCTAAACAAAATTACTTTTACTGAGGAACCTAAAACATAGACTTGGGCTTTAATGTCAGCATGAGCTAGAACATCAGGATGATGGTATGATGGGGGAAGAGAGTCTGGAAAATTCAGAGAGCCAGAAAGTAGCCTGAAAACAATTTAGTGTTCTTAACAACTGAAAGTACCTATCGGTGGAGATGAAGTAATGGCAAAAATCCCCTGTCCCATCCCATTTTCAATTGAAGTCTGAGAATAAGTAGTCTAGCAATTTTTCAGGACAGATAAAGCAAACAAAATGCCTAGCCTCGTAGATAGACTTTGGCCAGCAGTAGGGCACTTCTTGCAGTACAGGGACTGGATGTGCTGCCCACTGCCTCATCAGGAGATGGCTGCCTAGCAGCCACGTCACCGGCATTGAACATCTCTCACATGTGAATAGTTCCTCACTTTTCTGCCTTTCCACAGAGTAACTTGTATGACTTTTGCCTAGATTTCTCAAATGGTGTTTTTATAGTGGTGGCGTTTTGTTTGGATTCGCTTCTAGCTGTGCTATGCGGTACCATGCAGTCTCCTGTGGTTCTCCAGAGGCCTGGGCCTGTGATGAAGATGGTGGCCTGCTCCATTGGCCCTGCTGCTTTCAGCATTGAATATTTGATGCTTGGGGTCCAAGGTACGGTCAAGCTGTACAACCACTTCTCTCTAAAGATGAACTGCCCTGCTTGACTGAAGCTTCAAGAATGTATTTGTTTTCAGGATGCCTTTATGGGCTTTCTGGAAAGTTTACACACAGATGTTCTCCAAACACATGAAAAAACAGAGCTCTCCAAAGCTCTAGCCAGGATAAAACTGACTGATACGCAAAATGATGAAGCTTGAAAGAAGCCTAAAGTGAGTTTGAGTTTTGTAGGGTTATGATGAACAAGGTCTGGACTGGTAGAATAGGAATGTAGTAGCCTTCCTAATTGGTTTGTCCTCTAATTGAACACATCTTTTTTCAGATGAACTTTTAAAATCAGTATTTCAAGGTTCTGCTCTTCAGATTGGCTCTCACTCATGATCCATGCTTTTCTGTGGGGGTGACATGTCATATAGGAATTGCCCTAGTCCCAGGTCCATTTAAAACTTAAAGCTGAATTTAATGCTCTACATTCTTATTCTTTCTAGGACAAAAACCTGGCAATGCCCCAAAAAATCCCAAGGAGATGAGCTTAGAGTTGTCATGATGCACAGATGTCTTCCTTACAGATGGGGAAGGAATGATCCAGTCACCAGCATGGGGATGAGATGTGCAAATGCCACTAGGTGAGCACCTGAGTTCTTCTGCCTTTTGTAACTCCCACATGGAAATCTGCAAATATCTGTGATGTGGCTTTTAATTAATCCATAGGTATTTCAGTGCATGTTAGAAAACTGGGCAAGTTTCTCAAAGAGAGGAAAGCTGGGGGGGTACCAGTACCTTCTTTCCAGCAAACAGCAGACAAATCTGACACCTCTGGGCAAAGCTGTCATCATAAAGCACGTCAGGAGCCTGAACGTGGCATAGCTGAGGGGTTAACAATAGCAATGCTAAACTATGTAACTAGAAATCTGTTGGTGCTTTCATCTGTTTCTTTTTCTTTGTCCCTTATCATGCTTAGTTAGGGTAAGAGGTAACTTTCCATTCACGTGGCAAGAGCATAGACTTCTAAACTGTTTGAAAGCTTAACTTCAGAAGTAATGAATAATATGACCGAAATAGATTTGGAGCAGTATCCCATCTTTGATCCTCCCCTCCCCCCCCTTTTTACTGGGCATTACAATCCCTTTTGCCTTTGCTCACATTTTGATAGTTATCCCTAGGAAATAAGAACCAATTGTAAAATACGCTGGCATAGTGACTTTGTTCTTTGCTTTGTGCTGCAGCTGCCACTGAAGAATTGTAACCCCATTAAAATCCATTATTCAGCTTGAAGTCCTGGACTTCTGGACTGAAAGAAATCTGTCTAATTGTCATGGCTAACTGATGGTGTATGAAGGATTTGGACTAACCAAAGAGTTAATAGGTGAGAGAGAGCTCACCTTAATGCTGGGGTGAGAGAAACAGAGGAGCTGAACTAAGTTTCTTTTGCAGACAGGCAGGGAGTTTTACAGGGCAGGCTTCCATGCTCCAGGAGGGATTTCTGATAGTACTTGGAGCTACTTGAGCTAGCTCAGTATCTTTCCCTTCCTAGAAATATTGTTGCAATCAAATGTATTGGATGCAAGGTCCTAATCATGGCATGGTTGTGCCTCAGACCAATGTGAGTCTCTCTGGGTTGCTCTTTCCCAGGCTTGAACTTGCAGCATGACAACATGCTGTGTGTGTCTGAAGCTGTGTGCCAAAGGCAGCAGGGCAAAGCAATGGGGCCAAGGGAAGGGAAGCTTTTCCTACTGCCCTGCTATTCCAGAGGAGGTACCTACCCACCCAGACTAAGGAGCTATTGGTTTGGTTAGGTAGGGTATTGCTGGGGAAATGAAGCTGTGCAAGTATCTCCTGTATCGGTAGGAGAACACATAGACTGGAAATTTAAACTGTTCAGGACCTCATGGATACAAGGTTCTTCAGTGCCAGGTCTCAGTTACTTTCAAAGTGACTTATTCCCCAGGGAATATGGATGTCCCACAGTGTTATGGGCATTGCATAGTGTTTTGCACAAAAGAGCCCGAGGTGGGGGCTGCCTGTCAGAGCAGGGATTTCTTCTGAGCAAAGTAGTCCAGGCAATGGGCGCTTGCCACTAGTAATTTGTAGTGGCTATAATGGGCGCCTCTAACTATTCTTCTGTTTGAAGAACAGACAAATAGTTACCGTTCTGGTTACAAGTTTAGCAAGCTATCATCTGGACACGTCTGTAGTCCAATGCATGAATTCAAAGCTGAATGCCATCATTAAGAGGCTTTTAGAAAGGGAAATCTTTTCTGACACTGC